CTTATAAACTAATAACGTTGAGGCCTAAGAATTAGCAAAAAATTAGAAACTCAAACCCGGTCACCGACCGGGTCTTAAGAGCTAGTAAAGTAAACTAAAAGGAATTATTCGTCACACTATATATTTTAATATTGATCCTTTGAAGCTACATTTCATATCAGTAGGCTCATATGGTGAACCAACATCTGAGATTGATTATATGACTGTAAAAATATTGTCAGAGTTACTTTAATTCTCAAGTCTATATATGAGATACTTTAATATTTATAATATATAATAACAGATAAAGCATCAGTGATTTTGCATAAAAAATGCTTCTTATTTACTTAGTTGATATAATTGCTATTAAGCAAAAACAAAAGTAAGTTTTTATTGACATTGCACACAAGTATGACAAAATCTAATATTATTGGATTTAATTGCTTAAATAATTCATACTGTATTGGAACCTAGGTTCAATATTTACTGTATAATGGGTACACTACAGCATATACTGCTAAATAATATATAGTTTTATATTTTGATTAATCTAATATGTATTTGAAATTATAAATTGAAATAAGATAAATAAAAAAATTTTTGTCATTTAAAAATTTTTTACTTTTTTTTTTTAATTTTATTTTTATTGTTTTTTTTTTAATTTTATTTTTATTGATTTTTTTTAATTTTATTTTTTATTGATTTTTTTTTTAATTTTATTTTTATTGATTTTTTTTTAATTTTATTTTTTAGAAAATTACTATGTTTAACCAGGGGATTTCCTCCTCTTAGTATTTTAGGGTTAGAGTGCAGCTTTAAAATATATAGGAGTTTTTTATATAATGTGATATATATTTAATATAAAGTTTTAAATTAGTTTTTGCAAGGTTTTCAGGGGTTCTGAGCATTTTTGCATAAAATACCTGATCCTGTTTACTTAGTATATTTTTAAGATATAGCACCTCCAAACACCCCCAGGGAAAATTCTCCAGTTAAGATTAGCAATTCTCTTATTTTTATTGATTTTTTTTTTAATTTTATTTTTATTAATTTTTTTTCTATGTAAAAAAAATATAGTTTTATATCAAAAACCTAAAGTTATTATCACTTATTTAATATAATTCAATCACTAAATTTGTGATTGGTCTATCTGGTCCTAATTTGAGGCTAGTCTTTACCAATAAAAAGACAACCAAGAGGCCAAGTCCTGGCTTATTTGTAACATTGTAAAATTTATTGAATTTTACACAGTAATTTTATTGTATCTTATTTGAAAATAAGCTATTAACAAATATGCAAACTGTGTATAGTATATAAATATAATTAGAAAAGTTTTTTTTTAAAAAAATGTCCATACTTGTATATTTTCAACTGATACAAAATTAAGTGGTTTGTACTTGTTTAAAAACTGGCAAAATGAAATTTTTCAAAAAATTACATCATGATAAAAAGATTTTAATATGTTATTGATGTTGATACATTTCCAAATGCTAAAATAATTAGCAATTTTATGACACAGATCTTATATTTTCATAACGAATAAGAATAATATTAAAATACTTGATTTAAAATATTTCTTGAAATTATTATCAAGTAAGTTATTTTGTATCACAATTTATAAATTTATATTAAACTGCAAGAATCAATATAAAGAATCAATATAAAATATGCTTAAGATTTACGTGAAAAAATTACAATTCACTTATTTTTGAACTTATATTTGTTGTTTATGAATTTCATTTTGAAGGATTGACAAATACCTTGAAATTACTATGCTTTTCAAATTACTGTGATCACCCAATGATCACAGAAACCATTAGATTTTTTTTAAATTCTTATTTTTTTTAAAAAACGCTACTTAAAATTAAGAATTTTAATGATTTCTTGTTGAATTTTGATTTTATAACTAATCATCCATTAGTATACTAATTTTTTTTATTCTTTAAACCACTTGGCAGGTAATGAAACACTATTTGCCATTTTTATAAACAACTTATAATCCACTATAACTTCAGGTTTTTATCACTACTCAATTCATCTTCATTTGTTATGTCTTCACTTACTACAATAAACATTGGTGAGGAAGGCGATTCAATCACCTACTTTAAAATAAAAGTGAAAGTAAATAATAGGTAAATACAATACTAAATAAAGTATATGTAATATAAAAAAAAATAAAGTCACATCATCTAGTTCATCTGGTTTGGTTGTTGTTTTTATTGCTTTTTTTTTTATCTTTAGATTCAATTGATTTAAACCATTATTGCAATGTCCACATGAAAAGTTTCTTTCAAATTTATTCTGTAATTGAATTTCATAACACATCCATGAATATATTCGAATTTGGGTGTTTCCCAAGTAGGTTCAAAACAGCATGTATACGCTTGTTTAACTAAATCTGTTCTATTTTTTCTTGTTAGCACTTGAGAAAGCTTACAACTGCAAGAATCATCGTGCAAATCAACTGCGCAGTACAAACATTTTCAACACCCAAAGCAGGTGTCATGGTAATATTGAAGGTTTGTATATTTTTTTTATCTAACATAAGTTTACTAATTTGGAAAAGAATGACAGAAGTTCAATTAGTTTTGTATTTATAATTATTTTGGTATTAATATTTAATTTTAAACTCCTGATATTCAGATTTCAGATTTTCTGATTTCTGTGTGTGGTGATAAATGAAAATCACTATCATAGTAATTTGAAAAGCGCAGTAAATTGAATCGCATTCTAACGTTTATCAAAAAAAAGTTCTAGAATAAAAACCTTCAAAATTGACATTGTAATAAAACTAGACAAGAAACTTTTAACATTGCTTAAAAACCGGCTTCTTTAGAAATCTTGCTTTATTAACACCCTAGAACCGGAATAAAGTCAATCTTCAAACAAATAAAATAATTTATATGATTTAAAGTGTAGATATTAATCCTCAATCATTTTTTAGAATCAAAATTTATGCTTTTATAAAAGTTAAATGCAAATAAAAGATTTAAAGAACGTCGGAGACAAATAAAAAGATAAAATTGATTTAAAGTTTTCTTACTCTCAAGGAACAAATTACAATTTAATTTAAAACTATATTGGAGTATTTACTCGAGATTTCTATTGATTCATCGGCTTACTAATATATTCGGAAAATTTAATCGTATCATATAACTTGCTCGTATATATCTCTTGTGAATGTATTTGTTTATTCGACTCTGGTTTAATTTTATTAGCTTCCAAAATTTGTTTTTTGATTTCGTTATCATCATCCTTATTCATTTCATCTAACCAATGTGTGATTATTTCAATAATTTCGGTTGCAGTAGGTCGTTCTTCAATTTCTTTATCCATACATTTAATAGCTAATTTAATATAACAATCTGGTCCTAAACATTTAGGTCTTAATCCACCAATAATTTTTGAAACAAGGTCATCATTAAACGGAATTCCATCAAATGCTCTTTGTCCAGTCGAAATCTCCATTGCGATAACTCCAAGACTGTAAATATCTGATGCCTGTGTGTACGGTTTACCCATCAAAACTTCAGGTGCAATGTACGGCAGAATTCCACAAATTTTTCCTTCTTTTACTTTTTTAGAAAGTCCAAGATCAGTGATATATGCGTAGTGCAATTCAGGTAACAAAATATTTCCGCAGTGTAAATCTCTGTGAACGAGTCCCTGCGAATGAATTGAATCGGATGATGATAACGAAATCAAAAAAAACAAATT